TCGCAATTTTAATTCAATTTTCAAACAATATTACAACATTTAGACAAATTATTTTAAAAGAGATTATCCTTCCAGAGTTTCAAATTAAAAAAATCACTCTCATTCCTGCACTAAGCTCACTATAACATTTTGAGACTTAAAAATTGAAGAATTGTATTTTAAAGCAATAATCGTAGTCTATGCCCGTCCATTCATCTTGTTTATTTCATCAGTCACTTTTAGATATTTGCATAAAACAAACATTTGTAAAACGAACAAAATGGACACAAAACATTGGTTGATTGATTGATTTATAACGCGTAAAGATTTAAATAACACTGGACTTGATAGCGAGCGAACGCAATCAAGTCGAAATGTTTGATTCACTCTTTTCAATTCATACGAATTCACTGGATCTTCATTGCGCATGTAAACAAATATAATTCATATCAAATATTCCCATGTCAGTTCTAAGAATAGATACATTAAATTATTTTTTTTACTTCTTACAAGCTATTGCATTAGCTTAATACATAACGAAAAAAAATCAATCAAAAACGATTCAACGTTATAAAAACACAAAAACATTCAGAAATATTTATAAGGTTATGTTTTATTCGAGAAGATTTAGTATCTTATTTTTGGTTATTGGTGCATTTTTTGTAGATATTGAAAAATATCTACAAAAATGTGATAACTAAAAGTAATAAAAAGATTTATTTCGGTTTAAAATTTTGTGTTTATTAATTCAATGTTTAAGATAAATGTGATTCATTGAAATGGGTAAAAACTATAGTTTGTAAATTCTCACAACATTTTTATTAACAAACCCTGGCCATTATTCCCACCAGCACAGCTTCTTTGGCACTAGGAGGGAAAGTCTTGCAGAAGAAACTACACTAATGTCTCTCTTTTTATATACCATTGCGAACAGAAGTATGTATTTTAGGCGTATGGCGTGTGTATGGCGAAGGAATAATATGCGCGGACATATTTAAACAAAATAGTAGATCAAAAAGAGTTGACCTCAGAACGTCGAAAACGTGTAAAATACGTACACCGCCATGATCAAAAGTGGCAATATCTGTCTTATTTTAATTTAAAACTTGATTAAATTAACCGAAAGGCACTGAAATGGATCTAAATAATTTATCACCATCACAGAATACGTCACTCTTCGCATTTAGCTCGATGATTTCACTCTTACTATATTCAATAAAATAAAAAGTCATAACAAGAAAATATTAATTTCTCCCCCTGCAAAGCAATATTGCAAAATATGGAGCCATCAGTGATGTCGAAACAATTTATTTCGTTGTCATACGATGAAATAACCTGTGTTCCTTAATAGCGCCCTTATTATGGGAACGGTAATATTAAATCGTCATTTTTCATTAAATTGAGCAAATTTTTTTTTAAACATCGATGCTCAAAAACATTGAAATCAATGCTAAAAAGGAACAAGCTACTCGCATGTCTTTTCATAGAGAAAATAGTGATTTTGGCTGAATTATTAACCTCGGTGACCTAAGAAATAATTTTAATGATTACAATAACCGTGATTAACCTGAAAAGGAATTAATATATACATGAAGGTGTAACATATATGTTTTCACTATCTAGATATTACTCGAGACTTCAACAACAACAGCGTCGCAAACCTAAAGTATTTAAGGTGTCAAAATACATCACATGTGAGAACTTAATACATTACATATTTTAAACGTTTCCCAAACGTGCCCAAAATTAAGGGTGCATAATTGCACGTATTTTACTTAAAAAGATTATCAGGTGAATAAAAAAGAATTTGCGAGTCGAAATCTTTCTTAACGTTTCTGATTAAAAATAATTATCTTTCCTGTCTGGTGTATACGGCACTACACTTGAGCGTTGGTTAAGTTTTTGACATTAATGCCTGTTAAATTTTGAGACAAATATTCATCTCGTTGATGTGGCGTTAGTTGTTTCTATATATGTAAAGTTACTTTACATTTAAGTTCAATAGGCTTAAGAAATTCTACTTGTATATTATACGAATTTGAAAAAGGCCCTAAATTGAACAAATCAACTTTTAATATGACCACACAACCATCGTTCTTGAATCGTTGTTATCTATGGTTTATTCAAAAAGTTTTTTTAAAGATAGTTTTAGGTACTTGGATAAAGCAATCTTTTGTGAATCGAAAAAACGTAGGTACACAAAACATTTTACGTTTTATTGAAGGGAATAAAAATTCCTCCTGTAGATACAAATGTTGTATACCAATAAATAGTTTAAAATATAACCTTCATTAATAATTTCACCGCAGCTTTGCGGAAAAAACTTTAATAAGCAAAAACTAAAATAGATGCTTTGAGAACTTGCCACTGACACAGTGAGTTTAAAAGTGATTGGAAGGATAGTAGCTACTGGACTTTTTACAGCAAAAGTTAAAATGTCTCAGCCTATTATAAGTTCATCATAACTGGCACGTTGGCGACGAATGTTCTGAGTACTTTTATTATAACTTTATCAACTGTGACCCGTAGTTTTTTTCAGTGGTTACTCTCCTTGACTGTTTTGACGCTTGTCACCTCTCGTGACTGTGTCTAGCTAAAAATCAATTCAAAAAACCGTTTTTTTTAAAATGGTACGGATTGTATATAATAAATCGCAGTGATGCACGGTGTTATCTAAATATTAAATATTTATGTTAGCTAAATGTATGTTACGATGGAACACCTATGTATAAAAAAAAATATTTTTAAATTAATGGTTTTAAAGTAATTGGTAAGCATGTTATTCACACGAACCATAAAAAGTTTAAATTTAATAATAATAATATAATTTTAGGTTCGTTAGTTGGACACGATTATGATTTATGTCACTATAGGAATAGATGCTGTTTGCCACGTGTTTATGTTTCTGGATATCACTTTATCTCCTTTTTCTAAAGGTATGTTCCTTTTTTTGAATTAAGAAATGGAACTTTAATTTTTGTGACACCCAAACAGCATCTCCCATGCAGAACTGTGGCTCCAATGCAGAACTGTGGGAACTCTGCGATGAGACTCCGAACGACCAGCAAATCAAACGCCGCAAGTGGAAATGGATCGGCCACACGCTCCGAAGGGACCCTGATCACATACCAAGGCAAGCCCTAGATTGGAATCCCCAAAGAAAGCGTAAGCGCGGCCGCCCTAAGCAAACCTGGCGGCGGACGATCATCGCAGAGGCGAAGGACATAGAGAAGACGTGGAGCGAACTGAAGCGTGAAGCTCAAGACCAAACGGGATGGCGACGCACTGTGGAAGCCCTTTGCCCCATCTAGGGGAAACAGGACCATAAGTCAAGTAAGTCAAAGTCAAACAGCATACATGAAAAAAACTAGCATACCGTTACGTGATTGTTCCTTATAAACCCCCAAGCCTGATTAAGACACTTTGTTCCAAATTTTTCTCCTCTTATGCAATATATACGTTCAGTTTGCTATATCATTATATTAACAAACTGAACGTAACTTAGATTTTTCTACTCGTGCGAAACCGTGGCGATAAACGCTAGTTACTAAGATTTAAAATGTGATTTTTGTAGATAATTGAACTTGCTTCTTCTAGTTGTCCGCCCCGCACAGAATCCCGCACCGCCCGAAAATTTTTGTTCACTTACCTACAAAATTCACATTTTAAGATTCATCTGGTGCAGAAACTAGCTAAAATAAATATTAATGCTTACTGATAGATTTCCTTACTTTTATAGATCTAAAACCGTAAAATCGGCTTTACGATTTTTTCATTTGATTGATTCAATTTCATTCGCACTTATGCATTTTCAAATGGAGAATGTCTGTTTCTCTATTTGACAATGCAATGTTCCATGTAATGCCTTACTTTAGTCGACTGCCCACAAAGAAAGGACCCGTAGGGAGCGTTCAGGTGAACGTAATCGTTTGTAATGGCACAATTGAGGTCAATGTATGCGCACGATATGTATACTAACAAGTAATGTTTTGTTGCGTTAATACTTTTGAGGACCTACAATTTTGCCCATTTAAGTGCTCATAGTTGTTCTCTGGATGCATTAAATTTTACATTTATTAAATATGAAACTGATATAAACCGACAAGCGAAAAAGTGACCGACATAGCTCGGAAGGTTAGCAAACTGAAGTGGTGATGGGCCAGCCATATAGCTCGTAGAGCCGATAACGGCTGGGGAAGAAAGGTTCTCGAGAGGCAGCCTCGAACTGGCCATCGTAGTGTAGGACGATCCCCAACTAGATGGAGTGACGACCTGTGCAAATGTGCGGGAAGTCGATGGATGCAGGCTCAGGATTGTGCTTCGTGGCATTCTGATATTGCACTCTTTAGTGTAATTCTTAAATGTTATGCCACGGCTTCGGCTGTTGTACCAATGGGCAGGTTCGTCGTACACACGACCTCACAGAAAACCCGCGTGAAGTGGTAGTTCCATATTTCTGCATTTCTTCTGGTGGCAAGACTACGGATGTTGCAAATTTTCAATGTGTGGCAGTTATCACTTAACATCAGGCATAAAAAGATAGAGTAATTGATGTATTAGATATTTTTATCTTATTTTTCTTTACTATAAAAGTTGCCTTTACTTTAGGATAACATTATCCTGTGGTGTAAGGACATTTTACATACATACATTTTACATAGACAAACACCCAGATCTGAAACAACTATCTATAAACAACAAATTACGACCTCTACACCGAAGCCAATACTTTGGCAACTACGTCACGGAGTCATCATTTTGAACGTGATACAAAAGTGAAATGCCGTACAACTGAGCATAATTTCACTAAATGAAACGTATCACGTAACATGATTGAACGTGTTTCGTTTACTACTGTTAAATAATTTTGTTTTTTTTAGGATCATTAAAAGTTATTACAAGAAGTTCCTTTGGTAATGTCGGATTGTGTTTATAAACAAAACCATAATTTACATTACTTTTCATTATTTATTTATTATCGGTGAAGTATGCTATAAAACAGATCATGTATGTTTCGTTTAAATCTTGGTGAGGAATGGTGCTATGGAAGCGAAGTCTTCGCAATCGGGGATAAGCTTGCCTCGGTGACGAATGCACGATTCGGCGCACAGAGGCCCTTCGAACCAGGAGCCGAGCATCTTCTTGCACTGGGCGCAGTTCTCTATGCAGATCTCCATTGGATCGAAGCCCATAGCGATAGCTGGTTCAGCTTCAACAAAAGACCTGTTGATAATTATAGTGATGACGAGAACAGCAAAGGACATTGTCAATTTAGAAGCCATTGTTGAGTTAGATAAGTTGTGAAGTAGATCTAACTTAGACTTGGAATGCCGGACGCTGCGGATAAGAAGGCTTTTATAGTAGGTTTCAGCTTCCCTTTTAAATGAATTTGCCAGGACACAGCGGGATTTTCATACCAATGAACGCGTAATTGAATTTGTTTTTACATAGTTCTTTTAACGCGTGGACATATCCAGGAGACATAAGTAAATACTTTTAACATTATTGTTTTAAATTCTAGAGTTAATGTGTTTTTAGATAAATACTAGTTACCTTTTCTGTTCTATGTTTTATTCTAAAACATTTATTTATTTTTCATTAGAAATGTCGTAGAATAGATACAACAGTTATTCAATTAAATAAAAATATAAAACACAAACTACCTTTAATATTACTTATGGAATAAACCTAGCCCACTCAGCATGGTGCCAACAACACTAGCTGCATTTCCTCGCTTAATAGACATGCCTAACATTTGAGTGAGAAAAAAATCGGCCCTCTTGTCTTCATCAATTAAAACAAAAGCCCTACGGATGATGTCATTCAGGGAATCGGGGCGGGAAAAGCGGTATTTATCCACATTGACACCATACTGGCATTGGTGTGGTTGACAAATTGGAGCTTCCGGAAGGATTCCTACAGCAATGCGTAAGTTTTTATCTTTGAGTGATGTACCCAAGTTTCATCAGATGCAAAGAATTCTTTAGATGCAATACCTAGAAAACAGGCATGCTGTAAACACCACACGCTGGAAATCCCACACAAAGTTGCTAATTGTAAATAAGGATTTTATTACATAGATTATAAATAATGTAGCTATCCTGGAAGCAAGGAAGCGAGGTAGGGTAAAACTAGACATTTAATTGCACCTGAAATATTTTTTTGCATCATCTGAATACATATGACATAAACCAATCACGTTAAGAACGCGATTGAATCTTGGAACAACAATTTGAATTTTTTTATGACTGGTAATTGTCAATCCTGTCAAATATGAATTCTTACAACCAACCTTTAATTTTTACATTTTTTGAATTACAGTATAAATAGTGGGGGAGGCCTTAGTACAGTAGTAAACTAGAAAATATCCATTACAGTTTTCCCCAAATTATATAGTAAAAGAAAATATTTTGAACATATGTGCAGAGCACTGAAATATAATAATTATACAGTCTTTTTAAAATTTTACATATAATAAGTATGAAACAACATTGCACCTTGTAAGGGATACTGATTGTTTAACTAATAACTAATGTTTAAATTTAATTTTTTTTCAACCATTCCAACTTTTAAACACGCCGCCATCAACCGCTTAACCGATGAACAACTTTGTTATATTTTTGTTAACTATGCGCTAGCCTGCTATACTACTTGATGGTATAGCTGGCAATACATTACTGAATTACATTATTAAATTTAATGCAAATATAACGAAAAAGAAGATTTTATGTTTAAACATATTTCATCTAACTATTAAAGCATGAAATTCTATAGTAGGTTTTTCACTTCGCAGGATTTCATTAACGTAATAAAAGGCCTAGAGCACAATGCACAATCCAGTCATGTGGTCTAATTAGATAATGGCCCTCCTGCTGTCTTAAGACACAGTTCGTCTACTAAAAATAAAAATCTACTATAAAAAGCTCTCGCAATACCATATTCTATCATTCAGTGGCTTCACTTCGATCCAGACGAAACATTAAAATTGCATTGACTTTGACAATGGCCTCAAAATTTACACTTGCATTCGTCGCAATCGTCTATTGATGTTGTACTGTTTGCTGACGATACATCGCTTATTTTTAAAGTTGACCGAAACGTATTAAATTATGACGACGTGAATAGTGCGCTTTCACATATCCTCCACTGGTTTACTATTAATAATATGGTATTAAATGCCAAAAAAACCAGATGTATTCTTTTTTACCCTTCCCAGTATAAGAAGGAAAAGTTTTAGTTTAATATTAAATAACGTACCCATTAATCCAGTTGAGTCTGCTGTATTTCTGGGAATTACAGTAGATTCAAAGCTCCAGTGGAGTCCCCATATATCATCTCTTGCGAATAGGCTGAGCTCCGCGGTTTTTTTTGCGATTAGAAGGGTTAGGCAGCTAACAGACATCGACACTGCCAGACTTGTTTGCTTTAGTTATTTTCACAGCATCTTGTCGTACGGCATTTTTGTTGTGGGGTAGTGCATCAGATATAAATACTATATTTATTCTTCAAAAAAGAGCTGTCCGAGCAATCTACAATATCGGAGCCCGGAATTCACTCAGAGATCTTTTCAAAGAGGTTAATATACTCACTGTTGCTTCTCAATACATTTATTGTAATGTTTTGTATATACGTCATAACCTTAATTATTATTACCTAAAGAATAGTGACAGACATAAAATAAACACTAGAAATAAGGACAAACTTACTACGCCATGTTTCGTCTACAAAAAGTAAATAAGTCGTTCATGGGGCAAAGTGTACGCATGTATAATAAAATCCCACAGTCGATATTAAGTCTGCCGCTTGACCAATTTAAATGTAAAATTAAAAATCAACTGATGATTAAAGCATATTTTACCATTTCGGAATATCTCGACGACGCCAATGTGTGGAGTTAATACTGTTGATACTCACGTAGGCTAGAATAAGACTATTATACCTGTATATTATATTGTACCCTGATATTTTTGAAAAAGAGCAACTGTTGAGTTTCTTGCCGGTCTCTTCTCAACAGAAACCGCTTTCCGAACCGGTGGTACCTTACGAACCTATACACATAATCTTTGATGTAAAATTTGACGATTCATAAGAGCGCGCAAGCGTCTATTTGAATAAATATATTTTGATTTTGATTTTGATTATATGGTTATGGCAAGAATCGAATTTGTCAACGGTGAGCCTGCTATAGCCGTAAACTACAAACCCTATGGAAATCTGTGTCGAGAACTGCGCCCAATGTAAGAAAATGCTTGGCTCATGGTTCGACGGGCCTTTGTGTGCCGAGTCTTGTATACGTCAAAGAGGCAAGTTGATTACAGATTGCGAAGATTTTGCGTCCATTGCACCGTTTCTTACCAAATTGTAGACATTTTCAAGCGATAAGAGATTCAAATCCCAGGCAACGGATATGATTCATTAATGAAAACACCTATATTTACTTAACTTTTAAATTTTGGATTATGCGACGGGCTGTGTGGCAGTAAAATTTAATGTAATTTCATATTATTTAATATATTTTGAATTAATAAATTAACTGTTGTTGTTAATTATTGTTGTTTTCGTTTTATGTTTTGTTTCAGGAATGCGTAATTCATTAATAATAACCGCTTATTTAAGTACATGTATACATCTGTCATATCATAAGCATAATAGCAAATAAATTTACTGTATAATATTAACTAATAACATTATACGGTAAATATATGACTCAATACGATTTCAACTTTAAATAATAGACATTATTATCTGATTTTAACTTTATTCTATTAAATACAAAAAATACATTTACCTTTTGATGAAACCGCAGAATGCAGTTATGCGGTTTGTTTTATATAAGAAAAACTAACTGACCCGGCAAACGTTGTTTTGCCATATAAATTATTTGTAGGGGAGGACCACCCTTAACAGATGGAAAATAGATGTTGTCCAATTCTCCAACCTGGCCGATATGCACACAAAATTTCACGAAAATAGGTTGAGCCGTTTCAGAGGAGTTCAATTACAAACACCGTGACACGAGAATTTTATATATTAGATTATATCGCGCTATTTGTTGATCCACATATTTCAACATTCAATAATATTACCGTGTATGAATATGAAGATTTAATACAAATAATAAAAAAATAGTATGTAGTAAATAGTAAATAGTATTCTCAACGTAATAAACAGGGTAATATTGCAGTCATTTATACATTTTTATGTAAAAACTAATACCTCTTATCTCTTAAGTTAAATTCTCCAAGCATTTTTCACTTATGATCCTAATACGAAATAATTCATGATTTTGTTTCTCCACACTGGTTTCATCACTATTTGGAGTCCCCCATTAGTTTAACATTAAAAACTGGCCAAGTGCGAGTCGGACACACGCACGAAGGGTTCCGTAACATTATCTATAAAAACTGTAAAAAAATCATGTCTGATGTATGCGTGCCTCAATAAAATATTTTATTTCATTTTTTAGTATTTGTTGCTATAGTGTCAATATAAATACATCATCTGTCAAGATACAGCCAGGTTACAGATGGACAGACAGACAGGCAGACAGCGGAGTCTTAGTAATATGGTCCCGTTTTACCCTTTGGGTACGGATCCCTAAAAAACAATATTCGGTGTCAAACGCAATCCTCTTATTCGTTGGGAAGGAAAAAAGAAAAAAGCTGCGTCGTTAACCGACTTGCATTTCATATTTCCAATTAGAAAGGATATTTTATAGAAGGCGTAAAATAGAATATTTCTTGTGTAAGTGTTACATGAAATGGGTCTGTTTATAATAAAATGTGAATATTTACAAGTGTTTCATAAAAATTTTGCTGTCCTAAGTTAAACAATGCTTGCGATTTTAATTTTATTGTAATGCCTTAAATTTGATTATTATTTAATCACATACGTAATAGAAAACTGTGTAATATTAATTTTTATAGTCCAATTAAGTTTCTCTGCAATTAAGACGTAATTTAAAATGTTGTTAAAAATGAACAAGTCGATGAAGTTTTTCACATTTTTCTACAAAATTTTAATTCCATTTTAAGCGGAGAGAACATTACTGTAAAAATTAAGATAATTTAAATTTTAATAGCAAAGTAGACGTCGAGTTTTGAAATATTTCATTGCAAAATGTCATATGAAAAAGTGCTGCAATAGTAAACCCAAGCGTTGCTTAAAATTCAAAGAAAGCAAAAAGCAGATAAATACGTTGAGATTTTCTTCGTTATGAGGATATGCTGTTTAGCTAAAGCATCGAGCGCGTCCCGGAAGTAGTATGTTCGAGTAAATTCAG